GTTTATATGAAAAATCCCTTTAATTTTCGACAAAGAATAATTTAAAACGTTTCGCACTTATTAAGAAACACTATATTTATTTATAATATCATAAGTAAAATTAAGTTATATATTTATTTACAATATCATAAATAAAACAATTTGAGAGGAAACTTTAACGTGGCAAGTCATGTTTAACGCTGACCATCATTGATAATGCAATTCGCGTTCGCTATAGATTATTCCAAGTAGAGATGCCGTAGCTAGGTCAAACCAGATCGTGCAAAGTTAATCTAGGACAGTGTATACGCTGCATAGAGTAATCTTGTTAGAGTTGCACCAAAGTCTAGTTAGATCATACCCCGAGACAAGCAGTCCGGGCTATATACGTAGAGAAATCTGGTAATTGACTCTATTCTTCTAGATAGATAAAGTCATTTATCATGCAACGCATCGATTTATCTTTTTACGAGAAAATGTATCGCGAGCTGCTCGGAAAGTTCGTGCTGCAACTTGCCGAAAAGTTTCTCTTACGGAGAAATTTAAAAAGTTTCAGAGAGGCAAACATGGAATCTTTTGAAATTATATAAAAAGAATGGCTTTTGAAAAGTGCTTGTGAAATAAAAGCATGTATAATCGAATGAAGATATATTTATGCTTTGTATTTTTCCAATTCTTTGGAAAATGCAAACGAATTATCCAAACAATCCGATATTTTCGCAAATATTTTCAACTGCGATAACAATTCAAGAGAAATATCTTTGTTTAAGCAAACGAGAAATGGAAGAATTAAAAATTATGCAGTAAATAAATAATATTTTTCGCGTGAGAAAAAATATTTTTCAATAATTCTTTTCCTAAAAAAATATATAAAAATATTTTATATTCATCTCATCCTCATTATTACTTCGCAAAAATGTTTGCTATGAAGTTTACGCTCCGTTTAAAATTCAGTAAGCATTAGAGGAATACGAATTACTAAACATCTAGTGGTACGAGGCATCCAGTTTACACGTACCTAACTATTACGCAACGGAATGCAGAATGCATCTGCAATGTTCGCAATATCCAAGTGTACATGGAAGATATAAATTGTATCAGATGACTCTCATCGCTAATCGATATATTCAATGTATATAGTTGTACGGTCTACACGTTGTATAATCGATCTTCATACAACGAGTTACGCGTTAACCAAAACTGACAACGCCATTTTATATACTAATGTTTCAAGAAATTGTGCAATTATATCGTAAGATTTTTTCGCATCATATTATTGCAAAATAGATAGAAGAAATAGAGAAAGAAATAATGTACAGTAATATAAGTAATATAAAAATATGATTCCATGCTGAATATTCGTTATAATATTTATGATTTTGATAAATATTTAGATTCAAAATTAATTTATGAAATTAAAGATTCGTTAATTTCGATTAAAATATTCATTAAATTTATATCTGTTAAATTTATCGCGATTGTAAGAGTAATATTTTTACTGCAAAATTAATAACAATTTTTATTTATTGCTCTGATATATGTATAGCTATTAATAATAATAATAATAATAAAATTTCAAGTTCAATGTAATTATTTATTGTCTCTCTGTTTTATATTAAAATTATAACGAATTAATAAATTTGTTATAATTTTAATATAAAACAGAGAGAAAGTACTTATTATAAATTATTGATTATTTTCTCTGCCTCTGTTACCTGGTTTGCAATAATATAGTCTGACAAATCTCTCGATATAATTGCACACGTAACGAGAGGGTACGTTACATGGCAGCTAAGAGTACGAACAAACGAGTACATTTTCATAAATTTAGGAGTTTATCGCGCAAGCGAAATTCCACATAGAGTAAATTCACGCCATTGCGCATTTAAGCACGCGTTTGTGAATGCTGTCGCGCTAAGTAATTCCATTAAAACGTGCACATTTAACGCCAGCGTCGCGTGATTCGATCGTGTCGTTTAATATCGGATCAACATCAAATAGGGCATCCTAGGCAATATTTCATTCAGTAAACTATCTATTAAAGTCGCGGGTTTTGATGGTTCCTGAATTTGACGTTAATTGACAATAATACATCGTAACTGTTTAATAATAATGAATTATTATCAATGGTTATCTGCCAATTTATATTGAACGATTGATGGCTGAATTGCCCAATAAATGTGTTTTATTTTATCTTGCGTTTTATTTTAAAATAGATTTATTCTTTTTTTATCTATAAATCCTCTAACTAGTTTAGTGCTACTGTTCTTTAATTTCCATTACTGTTCTTTAATAAATTAATTAATATAAATTTTTATAGATAGCTTATGGATTCATTATTATGATTCTTTAATTTTCGATTATAAAAGTTTCATAGCATTTGAATCAATATTTCAATCTCTTTTTGTTTTTAGGTTCTTAAAAATCTAAATATATAATCTAAATATATTGGATGAAAATGGAAATAATTATTTATAAAATAAATATTTATTTGCAAATATTTGTATACATACACACATATATATATATATATATATATATATATATATATATATATTTGATAGTAATATTTAGTTAAATTGTTTGAAAAGCTCTACATTATTAAAAGCAATTAATAAATAATATAACAAAATAATATTTAATGAAAATAAGAAAACATTAAATTCTATGTAATTGCAAAATCCAAATTTATTATATGAAAATAACTGCATAATAAATTTTATAAATAATGATAAATGTGTTCTCTATCGCGAGATAAATAAAATGATAATTTTAAAATGTTTTTCTTAACTTTTGAGCAACGTTAGCATTTTTCGTAAAAGAGATTGAACCATTTTAAAGTGTTAAAAAACGCTCTCCTTTAACACGAAGATTTACGAGACACGATAAGATCGGCTCGAGTGAGTGAAAAACAAGCTCCAGAAAGATAAAGATTTTCGGAAAGGCGCTCCTTATTTTTCGATGAAACGTAAATCCTTTGTCAATGAATCCTTTATCTAGTTACATGAAGCACATTCTGCGCGCAAAAATTAAATTGCGTTGCAAATACGCATAGATGCGTGATGTAAATTGGATTCAGTGATTTCAAAATGTTTACCGAAAAACTGTCACGTCTTGCAATTTCTCAAATCGAACGATTCCCGTGAATATTTATCCTTTATCTAGATCCTCGTGAATATTTATAGAGTGGGAAATCTCGAGTGCGCGAACTCGGTCTCTGCGTCTTTCGCAAACTGTATATACGAATCCGTGCTCGATTTTTATAACACATTTATCATTTCCCACGTGCAAATAATGTACGATCACCGATAAAGATAAGGAGCGTCTCTCGATAAGCGAGGGGAGAAAAGGATTGGCCTGATTTTAAAAGTATTACATAATTCAAAATATTTTATAATTTACATAATTCTTCATAATAATGAATCCATATAACTATTATATAAATATTCGAAGAAAGAAGATCTCTCTCTCTCTCTCTCTCTCTCTCTCTCTCTCTCTCTTTCTCTCTGTATTGACATTATTATAATGTGATTAAATATTTTAAATTAATAATCATCATGTGATAAATCCGAATATTATCAATATAAATATAAAATATATAATAAATATAATAATATAATATAACAATATAATAAAATATAATAATAAATATAAAATATTGAGAGAAACATTAGGAGAGATTAAGAGAAAGGAAATTCTCTCTCTATCGATATATTATTAAATTTAAATTTGACCGCACACCTCTGTACTGCAAGAAGCAGAAACAGCTGATTGCTGTCACATACCTTAATTAATTACGAAGTCTATTTGACGAGGCCTCAATCGACGATGTTTGATCAAATACACTTTCCGATTCGACTGAAGAAATAATATGGAACGATGCGCCCCTCGACAGATGAAAAATCCGAGCCAGCTGAAGATGACGCAGCACACGTCGACGACGAAGTCTCTCGCACTTTTCGTTGATCGCCCGTTATTCAATTCGACACTCCCGCACTTTTCGTTGATCGCCCGTTATTCAATTCGACACTCCCGCACAATTTGTAGAGCACACGAGTTTCATAAACCGTAATGGATAACCATATAACGCGAAAGCACATTCACTGACGTGACGTGCTATTACTAGACGCGTGACGTCAGGGGAAACCCGAAGGACGCGACTTCGTGCTACTACGCGGCTCGTGACGTCACGTCGTGACGTCACAAGACGCCCGATTCCTCGGCTGCCAGGCGAGAATAATTAATTAATATAATACTCTCGTGAAAGTTTATTAATTAACAAGTACGCGATAACTCCGCGGATTTCCTCGATCGACAAAATCGTAGGAATTACGGAAGATTGAAGATATATCTTGATAGATAAATCTCTGATCGCCGACTCGAACGACAAACAAGATGTCGACTCCTCGTCGAAGAATATTGTTGATAATTATCGATAATTAATACTTTCCAATCGCTCTTCTCGATAATCTCGTAGCAAGTTTGACGACGAATTTTGCGAAGCAAAATCGCGTATCGCAAAACAAGGATCGTTCGATGCAAAAATCCTAGCACAAAAAAACTCACCCGCGTCCTTCTCGGAGAAGATACGCCGACAATTTCACACGATTATAAGTAGCGTCGCCAAGTGACGCTGATCGCGAACTAAATGATCTTGAAAAGGAAGCGTTTGGTTGGTTAATCGGACTGGGAGATTTTCTTGATCGGTTAATCGAACACAGCTCGCGTTTTACTTTCGAACATCCCCCGACACCCGCTCGCGACCAACGCGTATTCACGACTGAAGGGATACATTATACGCGCGACGTCAGAAGGTCGTCTCAAGGTAAACACTCGGCGCGAGACAAAAAACATCGCGGATATATAATTCTTGGCTCAGTCATTTTTAGACGTGAACGCGGAGCGGAAGGTGAGACACTTTTCTCGTAAAAATTTTATGAGGCACGCGAGACAATTTTCCAAAATTTTCACACATCATGCGCGTTGACAATTAAAGATTGAAATTAAAATATTGGAATTAATTAGAGCAAAAGGAAAGCTAGAATTTTTTCTACGGTTTCACGATTACGCTAAAAACTTTTTTACGTGCGATGACTTTCAAGTTGATTATTCTAATTAATAGTTACATTAATTGTCAATTATTCTCGATTAATTACGATATACAAAAAAATTCTCACACACACACACAGATGTCGCGAGATTTGAGTAACAGCATGAAGTTGTCTTGGCGTCCCCTTGCATTTTTCGGCAACTTCACGAACGTAATCGGCCATTATCGTTGTGATGTAGTGACAAGGATCCTCGTTTCGCGTTGTTATGTAGTTGTTTCATTATCCATTGCAAAGTGCGTCGCGTACGTGACAAGCATCGGGAGTGTCGAATCACGCGACAGGGTTGGTCATCGAGAGGCGCATAATTAGCGATTAACAATATTATTCGACGTTTATCGCGTCGTTTCGACTCGGAGCACGTCGAATTCCATCGGAATTCTCCGCATCTTGTTATTTGCTCGATTTAATCAAATAGGACGATCACAGGGCCTGGATATTATTATTTTCTAATTAATTGAGGGGTGATACTAATTAGATGTGTTCTTAGTCTTACGATATAATCGAATTCGGGGTCGACGCGTCGTAATGCCTCGTGACGTCACGCCTAGTAACGCTTACGGCAAATTCTTCGAGTGTTTACATCACGTGTCTACTAGATGTCGTGCGCGACGACACACTTCGCGTGTGACGTCATAGGTTCATTTTGCGCCGAAAAGTCTATTACGCGCAAACAATAAGTGTCGGGAGTGTCGAATTAAGTAACGGGCGATTACCGTGACATGTTAATTAATGTTTGACAGTGAATTTTCGAGGTTTTGTAATCGATACGTGTGTTGAATTCTTGGTGTACTTTCCATCTATCGAGAAACGCATCGTTTTTGCTTGAGGAATTGCCTAATGGGTCTTCTAATTAATTAAGGTACGTAATAGTAATTAGTTATTGTTAGCTTTGCATTATAATTGAATTTGCTTACTCATATTACATATTCATTTTGAATGTATACATTATTATTCACAGATGGAATATCAAAATTCAAATTGTGCTCTACCAATCAAAAATAAAAGTTATTACACAGAAAGAAAGGACATTCTTGTTTTGAAAATATCTTTAGTGGAAATCTTGAAATGAGATTATATTGCATTAATTAAAAAAAATATAATTGCTTGCTTGAATAAATTTTGTATAGTTCAATCAAGAAAAATATATTCTTATGATTTAAGATTTAATTTTTTTGAATGGAAGGGAAATAATGTTTGGTAGAAAATAACATTTTTAAATCAAAGATTATAATTTTTTTAAAGTAGAATTAAATAATTATATATTCTTGAGATGACAATTACTATTGAAATAAGATTATAATATTGTTAAAATTTAAAATTATTAAATTCGTCTAAGAAGATTATAGATTGTTATGTATATAACTTTTGATTTGATACTTTTTTTCTGTGTATAAATTGACATTTCTATTGTTTAAATTTCGGAATAAAAATATCTAAATATTATTTAAAGATCTCGTATATACAAATTTAATTATATTTCATGAAATATATCGTGAAATATATGCGTGACGCGCGAGCAGGAATGTCGTGCGAAATGCGAGCGAAAAATCGTTAATTAGCGATCGTAATTAATTGTGTTTTTTTCCAGATTGGCTGACATCCACGCAAATAAATCCAGAGCAATGGAACGACCTGATGAGAAATCGGCGCCAACGAATTAACTCGTGAGTAAATTCAGTTATTATATTTGCACGGTCTTGTGTTTATTCCATGATTAGAAATACGCTTTATTTCATCGCGTTGCAGATTAACCTTTGAATCGAATTATCGGTCTCTGATACATATATTCGATATCGATTTATAATTTGAATGTTTGAACTTTAAACGAACAAATGAAGTAATTCAATAGGAGATTAATATAGAGACGGATAAATAAAACGGATGAATAAATTAAGATAATTTTTGCATTATATGTAAAGATTTATTTATATTTTATTATTTTTACACAGAGAATATTTATTTATGAAGCGAACATTTTTTTATTTAGAAAAAGTTTTTATTATTTAAGAGATTTTTTTGAGAAACAAAAAGAAATTTCTAATTAAATAATTTTTAAAAATTTCTTGATTTTAAAAATTAAAAATTTAAATAATAGAAATGTCAATAACTTTCATTTAATTGACGGAGCACAGCTTAAGTTTAATATTCTATCGAGAAGTGATACAAACATATAATGAATATGTATTATATAATCCTGTTTATTTCTTGGTCAGTCTGTTTTCAACAATAATATACATTGAGTTGCATAATAAATAGAAATGCGCGCGTAACCCAGCATTATGATTAAATGTCACGTTCGCGGAATTTATTGGAAACAGTTTACATTTATTTGACGTTTAACTTCCGCACAACATGTTGATGTAGACGTGACTTTACAAAGTTAATATATAGCGTCACGCCGTCTAGAAAATATCGCTTATTTTCTACCACGCTTGTGTAAGGAGCTATTTTATTTTCTTCAGCGTGCATCTCTCGTCGTCGCATCGTCCTGCGAATGCCGTTAAAAACCTACTTAAGGGAAAAACGGAGCGTGGCGGGATTACATGGCTCTCCTGTCAAAGAAGCAGAAACTGCTTCTTTTACATTCCAAGACCATTATATGTCGGCGAATAAGTCGGCAGAATGAGGTCTCGCGTTAAGCAGTCGCGATATTCGCAGGATTCGAGTTGACTGTACATACGAGCTCTCCGTTAATATCCAAGATTTATAACGTTTTCGAACGGCAGCTTCCGTTTTCGCAGGATATGCGGACAAGCGATAGCCGCAAGATAAATGAGCGCGCCGCCAAACTTTCCTACACTCGAAAGTAATTAATAACGAGAAATATTTTCATCCATTCTTGCCCCGAATTGACCCCGCGATCGAAGAAACTTATCGACACGTCATCCATTTAAAGCCGAATGTTATAGATTTGTCGTAGTCTGATTGATCTCGAACGTATATTTAATTAAAATAAATTTCTCGTTGCAACATATTAATGAATTCTGGGAGATACTGATATGACTAGAAAATATTTACAGAAGTCTCGTAGAAATATAGTTGGAATTTCTTTTATTGGAAAATATATGCTACACATGCGAAACATATTTTTCTCTTACATGATATGAATCATAAAACATTTTAAAAATTTTCATGAGACATATCTCGTTTATAATATTCTCATTTATTCATTTTTTTATAAAAAAAGGAAGAAAAGATAATTCTAACAAATCAATATGTTTTTTAAGTGTGATAGGTAAAAATGACTCTAACTAATTGAACAAATAAAACTTGCAAACAGGAGAGTACATTAGCTTTAAATATGCGAAGATGCGCCATTAATGTGTGCAACTAGTGGCTAAATATTTATGAAAAGTTTGTTCAACGATAAATTTATTACACTAGATATCAATACTACCATCAAGCTATTACATGGTGTACTATACATGGTGTAATATACATCTCTTTCCTTTTTTTAAAATTTTAAAAAAACTTCTACTAAATATTTAAATTTTATATATAATATAATTTATATATTTTTGGTCTTCAAAAATGATTTTCATTAAAATAAAGGTACAAAAAACGATTTATCGATGTTAAGCTCAAATGATTACAATTAAACGTATATATTTAGATAGTATATATTTTCCAAATTTATTCAAAAATTATTAATATAAATCCAATATTTGTTCTGACTTAATATTTGTGTACTCTGTTATATATACGCTTGCGTATTATTAATGTGTTTTCGTTAATTTATCAGTAAATTACAATTCACGTGGTAACAATATTACCTTTCTCGATATTAAAACAATCATAAAGATATTACAGCTCTCTATAACATGATGGTATTATTATGGAAGAGAGATATAAACGCGCGAGGAATCAATTTACTAATATTATTCAACCGTGAATAATCCCGCGACATTTTCCGATATATGATTTGACGTAAAATAAGCATGTCGCAAAATAAGACGCCGAGGAGAGATGCAGCTGTTTAAACAACCCGCAACGTGCTCATAAAATCCACAGATATCAAAATATAACGCGTTTTGAAGCATATCGTGAGGAAAAATGCGATCTCTCCGCGTTCTACGCTCGTTAAAATCATGGCTGATTTTCATCAGTCAGAAAGCTTTTTTTCACCTCTTTTCCTTCTCTTTTTTATTACCTCGAGTCGAGAAAATAAATGCGCGACGAGGAATCATTAGCGACAGCGCTAATCGTCGCGACCCGGTCGCGGTTTATCAGCAAGAGACGAGCTGCTGTTTGTCGAATAACTCGGAAAATAACTCGGAAAATGTGCCATTCAATCAGATACCGCGCGTAAGAAAATAGGGGAAGAAAAAGAGAAAGAGGGAGAAAAACCTCAACAACAGCAAGAAGGGAATGTTGCAAAAAGGTTATCGGAAAAATCAAGGCTATTAAGTCGGATAATCGAAAAAGCTGACACCGCTCGCGGATTTTCCGCAGGAAGACGTTACCTTTATTGCGAGATGCACTTCAGAAAGTACACCAACATGTATACGGAACGATATCGCAAACGAGAAATGTGCAGCAGCTTTCTCCCTCCTTCTCTGTTTCCTCCTGCAGCGTCAAATACACTTTAGCGTACGCAGAACGGTAGAGCGACTTAATGGTGCTCGTCCAATTACCGTTATTAATTGCTATTGTGATATATACCGCGGTGCATACAGCGGATGTTATATTAACGTCGGATTGTTTACAGTGCAAAGTCCTTTTGAGATCGATATATGGCACTTGGTACGCTTATTAAGTGTACCATCGTTTAGAAAATAATGTTTCGAGATACGTCTTCCTCGCCGATTGCCGAATAATTTATTCGTTTCCAAGAGCACACGAGATCCGATTAGAATCTGTATGGAAATTTATTAAACGCAAATAATTAATGGCGACCACCTGGCACTATTAAGGACTCTCGGCAATTTCAGATATCTTTTTCAGTTATTTTTCGGTAAAATAAAATCTTAAATTAACTTCCAACGAAGAAAAAATCCACAGCATATATATTAATTTTAAGATGGAAATGAGAGAGTTTACCCTCAGTAAACTTTATATTGCGAAGTAAATATTTATTGAGAAGAAAAATTAAATAGAATTCGTAAAAAAGAAAATTAATTCTCTTGTATATTTTTCTATATTTTATATTTTTAGTATATTGAAATTTGCAGTATACTATCTCAAAAAACATATGTATTTTTGACATTTCGATATTCGAAAAAATGTGTAAAGACTAACATGCATTGCACAGTACACGTGATATATCTAGATCATATCGTGTTCTATGAATAAATAAAAAAACTTCAATAACAATACAATTTTTTCACGAAAATTGGAATATCAAAACGGAGGAGATAATGACTTCGTGTTGACACAATTATCGAGGAAATTTCGTAACAACCGCGAAACATAATTAATCGCGAAATTTCATCCAGCAAAATAGTTTCCATTGAAAATTATATAGCAGCACGCTTATATCATCTTTACTTTATAAACTGGCAAATGAAATATTCTCACATTTTGTACAATAAAGGTTTCATTGTAATTGAACCATTATTAAGGAAATTTATGGATTTTTATTTTTTAAATACTTTTAAATTTATTAAATTTATAAAATTACTTTTATAGATTTTAATAGAACTTTTATTATATATTATTAATAATTTTATCAATTATATAATGTGATTTTATTAATGATTTTATTTGATTTTGAAATAAAATAAAATAAATTTGAGACAGAATTAGATTTTTTTTTAAATTTTTAGTTTGTGTTTAGAAACTTGAGATCTTTATTTTCGTGTAATTTGCTCAAAATAGTCAAGAATTCTTGATTAAATTCCGTTATCAAAGTAATAACAAGACTAGAGTTGTATCTAAGGTATCTAAGGTAACGCGTCATGTTCTGAAGCCGTCAGCAAGTTAGCGTTGAAATTCAATAATACTCGTATGACAAGCTCACAGTTACTGATATTAATAATGGAAGGAGTTTAACTGAAGACTAATGCAATTCATTATGTCGACACGTTTTTGAATATGCAAATTCCTTATTATGTTATTAAATTAGAAATGATGTATAATGTCGTGCACGAATTAATACGATGTTAGAGATAATGCACAATTATTTCGTGTTGGATATATCCATTTCTCATTATTTCTGGAATAACATTTATATTTTATATAATGATCCGAATTTATTCCGCATTGACATTTATTATTATGCTGGAGTTATTCGAAATATTTCACAAAGCACCCATTGTTTAAGAGAAAGGAGAACCTATATAATTAATTAAACTCTTTTTAAACACTTAACGCAATTATTAATTAAGAGGAATATTTAAACAGTAAATTAAATAATATATCAATAAATAGAAATCCATTGTTTTTAATTTATGACTGTATGACACTGAAAGATATTTATACTTTTCTAAAATTGAATAAGTCAACACAAGAATATTTTCTCTCCATGAACTTATGAAAAATTCATTTTTACCAAATATAAGAGAATTGAAGTGATAAAACAAGATCTCTGTTCGCATTTTATCTTATTAAATCTGGCACTATATAAATCATTTATTAATTTATGTAAAATTTTATGATTATCAATTTGATTCGGAATATTGAAATCGATATTTTAATAAAAGCCAAAATTTTATTTTAATAAAGT